CCTCAGACACTTAGTAGCTATGTGTCCCTGGACGAGTCACTCAACCCTGTCTGCCTCAGTTTCCTCATGTGTAAAATGAGCTGGAGAAAGAAATGGCAAACCACTTTAGTATCTTTGTCAGCAAAACCCCAAATGCGGTCATGAAGAGTCAGACACATACGAAACAACCGAATAACAACAATGAAAGTGTTCTAACGCTGAGGCTAGAACAAAACATGATAGGAAAATTAGGTTTCTTAGGAAGATTTTCGGTCTCTCCATTTACAAGCGGAAGCCTTGAGTGTCAAGCTAAGAGTTTTTATTTTATCTGATGCAATGGGGGCCATTGAAGACTTTTGAGAGAGAGAGTGGTGTGTTCAGGAAGATGTCGAGGACAGTGGGATGAAGAATGAATGGGAGAGGAGAGAGTGCAGAAGCAAAGACACCAGGTAGAAGGCTATTTCTGTTGTACAAGGGAGAGGTGATGGGAACTTGACGGAGGTGGTGGTTGTTCTTTGTCCTCATGGTGGTCTCCCATGCCTCCACTCCTCAGTTTTTTCCCAGGTGATCACTCCTGTACTGGCTACCCCCTTCCTCCACGCCTTGGGAACCATTTCTTCTTTATATTCTCTTCTTCTTCTTTTTTTGGGGGGGTTAGGCAATGGGGTTAAGTGAGTTGTCCAGGGTCACACAGCCAGTGAGTGTCACGTGTCTGAGGCCGGATTTGCACGCAGGTCCTCCTGCCTCCAGGGCCGGTGCTCTATCCACTGCGCCACCTAGCTGCCCCCAGACTCTCTTCTTCTGTCAAGTCCCCTGCCCCTTATCCTATCTGTGATCTTGCCCTTTTAAGCCCCAGCCTTGGATTATACCTACCATCCACTGCTTTTGCTCCTAATCACTGGAGGTAGCTAGTGGTACAGTCGAGAAACTGTTAGACCTGGAATCAGGAAGATCTAAGTTCAAATCCAGCTTCAGATACTTACTCACTAGGCAAGTCAATTAACCTCTGTTTGCCTCAGTTACCTCATCTGTAAAATGGGGCTAATAATAGCACCTACCTCTCAGGGCTGATGTGAGGTTCAATGAGATAATATTTGTTTAAATAAAAGTGCTTAGCGTAGTGCCTGGTACATAGTAGGTGCTATGTAAATGCATATTCCCTTCCCTGTTGCTGAACAAATTTGAGAAAATCTTGAAACTGTACAGAGTGGATATGCTATAAAATTATTTATAATCCCAACTGGGCCTTCACTGCAGAGCTCTTCCAAACCATCTCATTCTTCCTCAAACATCCCATCTCTATCCCCTCAGCCTCAATTGAGAACCTTGCCTCCCATTTCACTGAAAAAATTGAAGCCATTGGCTGTGAGTCCCCTCTTATCCCTTCCTCCTTATCTCACGTCACCCAGATGCATTCTGTCACCATCCCATCCTTTATCCCTGTCTCACATGAAGAGGTGACCTTTCTCCTTGCCAAAGCAAACTCCACCACATGTGCAAGTGATCCCCTTCTGCCCGTGTTCTCGGCAGATTACCCTTTCTGTCATCACCATTCTCTCATCTTCAGTCTCTTCCTACCTATTGGATGCCTCCCCACTGCCTATAAACATGGCCGTGTCTCCTTCATCCTCAAAACCCCCTCACTTGATGCATCCGTCCCTGTTAACTACTGTCCCATCTCTCGCCTTCTTCCCTTCTTTGAGAACACCACTAACAATAGACACCTGCACTTCCTCCCCTCGCTTCACTTCTCTGCAGGCTGGCTTCCGACCTCATCGTGCAGCTGAAACTGTCTCTAAAGTTCCCCTAATCGCCAAGGCGAATGGCCTTTTCCCCAGCCTGTATCCTTCCTGACTTCTCTGCAGCATCGGACACGGGAGCTCATGCTCTTCTTTCTCGTAACCGCCTCCCTCTCGGTCTCCACGACACTCGTTATCTGGATTCTCCTCCAACCTGACTGCTCCTTTCCTGGACTTTCATCCATTTCATATCTGTAATTATAGTCATCCCCAAGGCTCTGTCCTGAGTCCTCTTCTCTTGCTCCAAACCATTGCGCTTGGCGACCTCATCGGCTCCGGTGGATGTAATTACCTCCTCTATGCTGATGATCCCAGCGCTGATTTACCTGGCTCCAACCTCTCTCCGAAGCTCAGCACCTCCAACTCCTTATGAGACATCTCAAGCTGGAAGTCAGATAGACATTTTAAAATCAACATGTCCAAGGCTAAATGCATTAGAGTTCTTCTCCCTCAGAATCTCTCCCTTCCTAACTCCCCTGTTACTAGTGAGGGCACCCACGTTGCCCCAGTCACCGAGATTCACAATTTAGGTGTCATCCTCCCCTTCAGACTCTCTCCTCGCCTCCCTCTCCCTGTACAGTCTGTTGCCAAGTTCTCTCGTTTCTACCTTTGTAACTCTTAGGTACATCCTCTTCTGTCTTCTGACGTTGCTGCCACCTGGTACACACTCAGCATCCCAGCCCCGGACTATTGCAATAGCCTTTGCGTTGGTCTTCCTACCTCCAGTCTTTCCCCCCTCTAGAAAACCCTCTACTCAATTGTCACATTATTCTCCCAAAGCAAAGATATCTCTCTGTCTTTTCTCTCTGTCTTTTCCTCTCTCTGTCTTTTCTCTATCTCTGTCTTCTCTCTCTCTGTTTCTTCTCTCTCTGTCTTTCTCTCTCTCTCCTCTCTCTCTGTGTCTCTCTGTCTCCTGTCTCTCTGTCTCTCTCTGTCTTTTCTCTGTCTCTGTCTCTGTCTCTGTCTCTGTCTCTGTCTCTCTCCCTCCCTCTCTCTCTCTCTCCCCTCCTCACCCCCCCCACCACATAGTCTGCAATCCCATGACCCCGCCCTTCTCACTGCTCCTGGAATAAGACAGTCCACCTTCTGGCTCCAGGCATTTTCTCAGGCTGTTGCCCATGTCTACAAAGCTCTTACTCCTTCTCCCCACCTCTTGGCTTCCTTGATGTCCCAGTTAAAATCCCACCCTCTGAGACCTGTTTAGGACCTTAGCTTGAAAATGCCAGGGATTCTCACTGCATCCAAAGCCATCTCCAGTCTTCCTGATCTATATTTGGCCATTGGACCCAGATGACTCCAGAAGCGAAAGTGAGGCTGGTGACTTTGCACAGCCCTCCCTCACTTAAATCCAATTTACTTGCGTGTTGGGGCATCACCTTCCCGATGTCATGGTCCTCTTCCAGAATGAAGGACAAACAACAACCTCTGTGAGTAGAGAAGGAGCTGCCCACTGGGGACCAAACTGGAACTGTTCAGTTGGGCAACACAGTTTTTTTTTTCTTTCTTTCTTCCTTCCTTCCTTTCTTTCTTTCTTTCTTTCTTTCTTTCTTTCTTTCTTTCTTTCTTTCTTTCTTTCTTTCTTTCTTTCTTTCTTTCTTTCTT